GACACTAATTGACTACAAGGCTTGTAAGTGCTAGTTTTCTACTTGGTAATAGTAAAAAACTAGAAAAAGCATCAGAAAATGGCAGCTCTGAGATTAAACGCTGAATCATTTAGGCCCTCTGAATTTACAAGTGCCATGCTGTGCGCTGACTATCAAACCAACTTTCTCAAAGTATAATTAGACAAAATTCGCAGTAATCTTCTTGAAAACTGAGATTTTCTTATGGTTTTCCATACTGAGAAGCTTTTTTTCCACAACAGAACAGTTTCTTCATCGACGTTTGATTAAATTGATGTCATCAAGGGCCCAGAGTTAGGCCTGAGCTCCTGGTATGACGGATTACTGTGGTTTCCCTATGATGTTTGAGAAATTTTCCCAAATATTTAATGCAAGTAATCAGGCTTAGTGTATTCAAGACCTATCAAAAATTAGTTTGAAGGTGCTGCTACGTCCTTGACCGAAAGTTTTTACTGGCGCTCCCTCGAAGATCCCCTCCCCCCCCCCTCCCACCCTCAAAAAAATTGTTCCTCTTTGATTGTAATTGAGCGACCTTTTCTCTAGAAAATGGCAAATTCGATGACCATGTTGGCACCTTTCATTAACACCGATAAATGAGTACTGCGAAAGCTTCAAGGGATGTTATTTTGAGAACAGCTATACCCACCATCTGCGTGTGGATACGTTCTGATGCCCACTTGCATCTGCTTCGATCATATTTCTTTGTACCCATTTCACATCGAATGTGAAGCTTACTATTTCACGACTAATGTGTAAAGAAAGTCGACAATGTTTATCGTCTACCATCTGCAGCAACCATTCTACTCAAGACCATCTGGAAAATCCCATGCTGCTTCTTTTTTAACCCGGTATAATAAAGCTTGCTAACATTGTGGTTACTTCGAGTCAAAAAGACAAATATTCAAAAGTATGGACAGGGAACGTTCTTACAAAGAACCTTTAGCAGAGTCCTTCCGAACCCCACTGATGTTAGGAATGTAATGACCGGAAAGTGGTCAGCTAAGAAATGTAGGAGGAGAGCAGCATCTCCAGAGGAAACGGCTCATGAACACCGAGACACCAATGAAGGTTTCACAAACGGATGTGATTAATAAAGATCGGATCTGGGTTATGATAGCAGTAATATGAAGTAACAGAAGAAAGGAAGCTTGTCAAAGTCATGCGTTGCTCGGCCAACGCTTCAGAGTGCTTAACCTAGAATTAGACTAAACCCTGTTCAGAAGGACTGAGATTAGTCGGCGAGAGCAGAGATTGCTGCAGTTTTTTCTTTCTCGCGAGCATGAGAAAAACATGGGGGATCGGGCGCTGCAGATTCATTCTGCGATTGAAGCTTAAATCTAATCCTATATCGGGAAAAACAACAAAAATGAATGGGAGCCTTGTTGTCTAGGAAGATTTCAACGAAGAACCGTGAAATGTTTGACAGATGTTCGCTTTGGTATTTAGGGTGCGATCGACCTGAGCAGGACTTGGTCTGTGGGGGATGCCCTAGCACTACAGCCCTTTTATATTTTTTAGCTTAGAGAAAAGAATTAGTACTTGTTGGAATTTTCATTCATGCTAGAAATTTTCAGATCCTTTTCTTTTACGATATGCCTAGAAGAAAAGATTTTAAGAAAAGTGAGCAGAAAAGCCGACTTCAAAAGGAAGGTACAATGGCAACAATGATTTTGAAGTCCTCCAAGATGAATGTATTTCTCCCCTTCCAATTTTGGGGTTACAAGTAACTCAAATCACGTTTTGAACTTCCGAAAAAGCTTGCACCGGAACAATACTCTCTTTCAGAAAGGGCAGTTGAATTGAATTTTCCATTGAGCGTCGAAGCCCTCAACAAGAGGAGTTAAATATTTCAATTAGAACTTCAAATTTAGTGAAGGCTTTGGGTGCTCGACAGAAGAAGAACAATCGAAACTGGTCATTCTGCTGCAGAGGTCCGAACATCCTAAAGGATATGAATTGAGGTTGTACTCAGTGAGTGGATTCCTGGCCGGCCACACGAAGTTGAGACCCTTTGGGATCTCCTAGCTGACGAGTTTTTCCTGAAATTGAGAGAAAGTGCAAAGTAATTGAACTATCAAGAGCTCAGTAATTATTGCAGATAACGGGCTTTCAGACGGAACTCTTGCACGGCCAAACAGAGCACTATCACCTTTATATTTTATAAGAGGAATGATTTAACGATGGTGCGTAAAATCCTGAGAGAGGAGGTCAAAGTAGGAAAATCCTTTTTTCGAGTGTCGGCGTCGAATACAAGAGGACCTCTCTTCAAACTAGCGCTGTCTTTGCCCAAAACTTCAGTGAGAGCTAACTTTTTTGTTAATAGGGCTGGTTCGCTATACCAAAAGCTGAGTAAATCTTCTACTGTTCAATTAGCTGCTTTAGAAGAATAGTTACGTACTCCCGTGTGTTNAGTAATTGAACTATCAAGAGCTCAGTAATTATTGCAGATAACGGGCTTTCAGACGGAACTCTTGCACGGCCAAACAGAGCACTATCACCTTTATATATGGTCCATAGATTGAATATCTGATTGATGCCAGCCCGGGCCAACCAAGAACTCCATCCCTTTAGTGTCGGCGTATTGAAATAAGAATTGTCTGAAGGGACAAAAGCATCGACAGGCCACCATAACATATTGCATAGGCTACGTAACCATGCAAAACGCCATTACAATCCTGAATAAAAGTTGAGTGCAGAGCGCATACTTCAGTCGCGATTGATCAACGCCCAAAGACTTTATCCTGCGCTTTTTTGTGTGGCACTAACGACGACGGAAAGACTCCCCACGTGTGCATTCTGAATCAGGTGGAGAGCAGGATGGGAGCAAAGGTGTGTTTCAAAGGAGAGGAAACAAAAAAATGCATTCCCTAGCTCCATAATGTGAATGAAGATTGATAGCTACCCAATTAGAAAAAGGCACTACGAACCAAGAGTGAGGCTACAAATTTGACATCATGCTTCGGAGCTAGTAGAGGTGGAAAACTAAAATAGCTAGGATAGAATCGAAGAAGCTTTGTACCCGTTACTTTTCTTCTTCATTTACTTGGCTGAAGCATCGAATCGCTTTCTACTTTGAAAAACATCCAGTCGCAACAAAGAAAAAGAGATCACAGAGCTGGAAAACTTCCATGCTATAACTGTGCAGTTAGACTGAAGTAGGTGATTCCCTTCAGAAGGCCATCGACACTACGAAATTCGTTGATCCTCTGTCACTCCTCGGGGATTTGTTGTCAAAAATATGTTAACTTTGATCGAGTGGGGTCTTTCCCGCCAAAATCCTGGCGACCCTGGTTTTTCGGTAGCCAGTCCTTCTGAACTTTGAACTTTTGGTCTTGAGGGCGATATATAACGCATCGGTGGGCTAAATTCAGCCGGTCTCCTTGTTTCTTTTTTCGTCAGTTTGTCGCTAACGTTTACTCTGATCAATTACCGTGCTTGAAATGTGTTGTATTCATTGAATTGTTTGCAATTTCTGTACCAAATACTTGACTAAATGTTCCCAATAAATATGACCGCTTTGACGCAAAGAATAGAACCTCTCACCGTTCTATGATATGTATGTAGACAACGATAGTGCTTCTTAGAGTCCAATTGTAGGCCAGAGCAGTGGGAAAAACAAAAGCTCATGAGAGGAGGGAGGGGCTTGGTTGTTTTTGTACAATTGCCTATCAAAAAAGGTTCCAACAACAAACTAATCGGAAGTGCCGTCAGTTGTTACGCTGGAGTAATAACAAAGGATTGCTTTGAATTCTAATAGTTTTTCTAGTTCTACGATTTCTGGGAATGTAATTTTGATGTTATTCATCAGAATGCTGGATTTCAACAGGATCTCGAATTTGAGACCTTAGTCCACTTGGTTGTCGCATGCCTTGCTAAAACCATTTCAGGGAACTTTTCGGCCCTTACTGAAGTACCTTGACGATCAAGTCTGTACTTTTTTGATGGAAGAGGCAAGAAGTGCGTTATGAAGGTCCGTTGGGTTGATGAAACCATTATTTCCCAAAGCTGACTAAGTGGGCTCTGCTTATGGGAAGAAGCTACCAAAGCATTCGCTCTTTTCAATGTATTATATGAGCTTCACATTCATACAGCCATGCCTTCATGACTCTGTGGACTCCTTTGGGGTATCACTGCATCTCCGTTTTTGCAGGATATTTGCTAAAATTTGGCGATATATGTCTGAGATCACCTCCATAAGGAAGAAGTCATGCGAAGAAAAACATCGCTTACGTAGCTGAATTGATTTTCTCCGCGTAGGTTTCTTTTGAATTCTTGAATAGCTGGATGGAATTCATTTTACGCCCGAAAAACCCTGCTTGAATGATAGGCAAGTGAATCATTGCAGTCGTAAGGCGTTGGGTTCAAAACACAAGGTAGGGGATAAATCAAGATGATGCTCCTGATACAAAGAAAAAAAACTAAACGGATTACTTCGCATGTGCCTCACCTACTGACCTTCATCTACCCACCTAGACAACAGCAGAGATGGTCACGGGGATCAATCCAAATAATCTGCTTACAGCAAAGATCAGCCAAAACTTTTTGCGCATAATTATCGTTATTAGGAAAAGTAAGCGCAACTTGAGACCATTACAGTATCCCCAAATCGAACTAGAACAATTAGATGGAACAAATAGTAAATCAGTCCTGGACTAGGATTAACGACACTGTTTCGGCTTTTCCTCAAAGCTATACAGTGCGCGTCAATTGCATATGCCATCCCCTATTTTTTCTTTTATCTGAGTTGTTATGCAACATTGCGAGCTGAAATATTGACCAACACTTACTGAGTGAACAAGAGTCCCAACAAAGCTTAAACATATTTGAACGCTGGAGTAGCGCCCTTTTTTTGGTGATAAAGTGAAAATTAGCCGCGTCAATTGCTTATGCCATGCTGACATTGCTACGAAATATCTTAAGTCCGCGCAGCCCTATAGACTTCTGTCCAAAACTGTCCTGTCCGCAACCCAAAGCAGTCCACCATGCCTAAGGGTCGTCGTCTATCTTCAACAGATCAAAGCCAAATTCTATTGCTTCGTCAAGCAGGCCATAGCAACAAGGCCATCGCGGAACAACTCGGCCGATCCAGACGTTGCATCGACGATTTCGTGAAGAATCCTGCGACATACGGTCAAGCACACGGAGGAGGACGTCCACTCAAATTGACACGAGCCGACCACAGACGGATGGCTAGAATGGCTTCCAAGTCAGCAATGAGTGCCAACCAGATTCGTGCACGACTTTCACTTAATGTGTCGACCTCCACTGTATTGCGAGCTATTCGTCGTCAAATAATCTTGTGGTGGGAGAGGATGAAGTCAGCTCCCCGTCTGACTAGGAGCCATCGCGAAGTCCGACTCGAGTTTGCAAGAAAGTTTTTTTCAAGAAACTGGAGAAAGGTGAGGGTTTTGACTCATTTTGGAAAGTGCATTGTTAAGCTCCTACATGGTTTAGATGATTTTTTCCGATGAAAAGGAATTCAATCTGGATGGTCCTGACGGGCATATTTATTACTGGAGGGATCTACGAAAGGAGCCTAGGACTTTTGCGAAACGTGCAGTCGGCGGAGGAGCTGTTATGGTAGGGGCAACCTTCTCTTCCTATGGAACGCTGGATATGGAATTCATCTCAACGCACATAAATTCGCAAGAGTATCAAGATATTCTTCAGCGCAGTTTGCTACCTTACCTCCACGATCATAAGCGAAAAAGACTAGTTTTCCAACGGGATAACGCTCCTGCACACGTCTCGCGTTCAACTTAGGAGTGGTTAGGGGATCACCATGTGAATGTATTGGACTGGCTTCCATGCTCCCCGGACCTAAACCTCATAGAGAATCTCTGGGGTATCTTGGTGGGCAGGGTCTTTGCCGGAGGGGTTCAGTATGACAATGTTTCTTCGCTGAGAGCAGCCATTCTAAGTGCATGGAACTCAATTCCAGAAAATGTTATTCAAAATCTCGTTGACAGTATGCCAAATAGAATCTTTGAAGTTATTCGTAAAGAAGGTGGTCCAACTAAGTATTAATGTTTTATCAATTGTGCTTTTTTCTGTTTTTTTCATTATGTGTTGAAGTATGGCATATAATTTTGACGCGGCACATTTATTAAAATGAACTGTAAAAATGAAGCTGTTTCTTTGAATAGGTGTATGTCTCGTATATGTGAGTCTCTGACACAGTCCATTGTAGTGCAGTATGTCACATGTGACAGAAGTAGGTAGGAACCGGGATAATAGGAAAATGTGGGGGTGGCATAAGCAATTGACGCGCACTCTATAAAGAAGGGCGGAGGTGGTGTAGTGGAAAGTGGCGCGCTATATCGCACGCACGGTCAGGGGTTTATCCCAGATTGATGCCCGCCTAAGCCAACCAAGCCTTCCATCCCTCGGGGTCAGTGAATTGTACCAGACTCGTCTGGGAGGATAAAAGCAGTGACTTGTACATGCTGGTCACCGCAACTCATTGTATACCACATACGCACTCATTACGCCACTACGATTCTGAATGGAAGTCGAGTGCGAGGGCGCATCTCTCAGACGGGATTGATTAACGCCAAAAACTTTAACTTTATATAAAGAAATACCGATTTTATGGTTCTGGAGACTGAAAAACAATAAAAGAGAGTAGATCGACAGGGAAGGAGTAGTTCAGAGTAACATGAGGAATTAGCTTGGGCACTTGGCTTACTTTCTTGGGACAAATATGCAGGCACATCTAGCCGCAGTTCCTTCTTGAGACTTCATGCACTACCTTTTGTCTCCAGAAAGGGCTCGGGTGTGTAGTTTGTAAGGTCACCCAACCTGATGGCCTCGACAGTACTGTGGGCCTCTTCCTTAAGCTAGGGTTACGAGTCAGATACCCGGGGATTTATTGAAAACTATGCCGCCATGAAGAAGACCTCCGTGAGAAGATTATTCTCTGCCTGATCATTCCTATGACCTCTATTACTGTTGGGTGATGAACTGAACTGATTCTATCCGATGGTGAGTCTGAGATTGCTGAATAAATATGGATTGATCCATGAAATTTTTTCGTATTTTAGGATCTAGGAAGGGTGGACCTGACAATTTCGCAGCTATAGGTGACGACCGGCTCAATCTACTACAACCTCCATCGGTACCACATAAAGGTCTACTCAAAGCAGATTGCTTCTAGGGTTAGAAGTACTGGCCAAGGCACTGAGAGCGACAAAAAATAAGCTCATTTTGTGCAGAGCCAAATGCGTTACAGGTAATGGATCTGTTGATTTTTTGCGATTTTTTTTTGGTAACTGGATGATTGCATCAATTAACAGAAACAGTGTTTGTCAACTACATAGGTTGTCAGCTGTTCTTATAATAACCCCTAGTTTTTGACTTTAACAGTGGCTCACTTTACAAAAACGATTCAGTAGCAATTTTGGATAGCTCTGATCGGTCAGCCGATACACCAAATTTTCTGAATTGGTTTCGTGTTCCCTCTGCCTTCGTCTCCAGAACCCGGGCATGCTGTTCACGAGTGTTCCGTATTTTAGGACGAGTTGTCCCGAATCAGCTCTTTCACTGATCACGTCATCGATCAATACTCGCTTCTGCATTACTTGCATGGCAAGATGAACGGTAAATAACTGGATTGAACAAATTCACTCCGCTACCAACAACATGGCGTTGCCCACATCCACGTGGCACGAACTCCCAATCCCGGACCTAAACCAATTAGCTGGAGTGGATAGTGATTGGATGGTTGTACTTTCGGGTAAAACATTGGGATGTTTCCGGGTTGGAAGAGTAACGTGATGCAAAAATTCGTTGAAAACAGAGGTGGACATTTCTTCCGGCCTCTATAGCCTTTGCACGCTGTACAGGTTAACCGTAGCGGATGATGTAATACTGGACCATGAAAAAAATTCAAATTCATTCTGGGTTGGTGAAGACAATGGGTAAAAATCATTTCGCCTCACACACTACAGTAGCAAAATAGTGTAGTAATATTAGCATCACGGTATATGCTATTACCCAAAAATCAGGCATGCGAATTCACCCGAGCTAATAATGTTCTGAAGAGCGAATCAAAACTGTGCTACTACTTTTGACATCTTTAGAGACTTGGTATCATGTGGGCTTACCGTAGTCAGCTTTCCCAATCAGTTACCCGTTACGTACCTATGGGCAGCGTGATGGGTGGAAGTGTTCCCATTTTCTCACCCAGTAACGACGATAATTTATCAACGAGAGAGAAATAAAGTAATATGAGTATCATTAGATAGTTAATCAGAGAATAGAAACTGTTAGCATGGCATGGTGCAGTGGTTTGGTAGGCTTCCAGGGCGTGGCTGTAATGTCAACAGAACGGGAACGAGAGTGCTCAAAGCTCTCACGGGGGAAATGATGTTTCAAGAGGAGGTGGGTAATGGCGTCAGGTCGGGTGGGAAGTAATCGCACACACACCAGCTCACTTGAAAGAGAACAGAAAACGAAGTTTGAGGACAAACGTTCTCATTGATGACAACCATGGTCGTCAGAGATTGCTCGCTTCGTAGGAAGTAAAGAGGCGTTGCGATGCCCTAGCATCCTCTGAAGACGCTCATCGAAAGATGAACTGTGTGAAACTGTGTCAACCGAACAGTGTGAAAACTGAATATAAAGCTTCAAGAACCATTTTTGGAGAGAGTGGTGTCGGAACTGCGCGTTATCCAACTCATAAATGCACCAAGCCCGAATGGGATGACAGATGACTAACTCGATTGTTCTCTAGAATAGCGAGACTAGCTCGGAGGACGAAGGCAAATCACAGCGTAGCGTACCTCTCATATGATTTGGCATGTAATAAGCATTTCCCGAGGACGACCTTTCTGGGAAATATCGTGCAAGAGGAGACTGTTTTTGAAACGTATGTTCAGAGAAAATTCGTGCTGGGCACGGGGAACCCCTAGCTAGCATGTGTGATGGCGAACCCAGAAAAGGTTATAAAATTTCTGAATATTGCAATGTCAGGATGGGATCCCTGATAACAGCGCACCCATGTGGGTATGTCGGCTGGTACATATGTGTAGATATGCACATAAATAGATGACCATGTCTGGTTCTGTTTTCCCCCTCTTTGCTCACACGCTGAAGTCACGCTAATCCGGACACGCCTCCTCCAGAGGTTCGGACCATTTTCCACCATCGAGGGGATAAACGAGACTGTTAAGCGCCGTGCAGGAAAGTCTCGCTGGAGATTGTGGTGCGACTTGACGAGTGCTTGGCAAATATGCAAGGTTCGCAAATGAAAAACTGCGAATTTTTCCAGACACTCCGAAAAATTATTTCAAAAAGTTACTACCTGCTTTCAAAAATGATTCATAATAACATAAAGAAAGCTGGGAAACCGAGCAGATTGTAGAGATCACGGGTTTCCTTTGATTTAAGGGAATCCTACACTTATTTTCAGAATAAGCGGTACGGTAATGGTTCCACTGCTCTTGCACCCAGCCTCATCTTTGAATCTTGGAAGGGCAGATGGAATGCAAAAAAAAATCACAAAAGATAGAATTGGGAGCGATGAAGGTCTTAAATAAGCAGGGATCCTGGCAAGGATGAGGCTGGCAAATAGTTCATTTTGCTCACTAGCATCATCTAGATTATCCTACTCCTTCGGATTAGAACAGCTTTCCTTTGTGGAGAGCGTATGAATACTCCTTTGCAGAATCAGACAAAATCTCGAGGTCGTCTTTCCCCGGCTCTTCTTTCTGTATAGACTCTTTGTGCACGTCTTAAATCTAATGGAGTTTTTTAAGAAAATGCAGGCATCTTCGCTAAAAATAGAGGTCTCGACGACTGCGTTGGAGAAGAAATTCAAATGACGAATCAAGATGCCTTAGAACAGACGTAACCATCAAAAAACCACCCGTAGGCGAAAACACCCAAGTTTCTAAAAGGGCAACCGTAGGAGGAGGAATTTCTGAGACCTAGAGGCAATCGAAAAAGGTTGTGGGATGGAGAAATAAACCATCAATTTTGATACTAACACTAAAAAGCCCTTAAACCAAGAAATTTTTTTGTTGACCGGTGAGCCATCCCATTGAGGAATTTTGCAAAAAAAA